TAAATTGATGGACGATATTGCTCTTGCTGAAATCCCTTTCATAAATCAACAAAATTTACAAAAGAATTACGTTAGATGGAAAAAGAATTAAGTTTTTTGGAATCATGTTTGATTTGTTGTTTAGAAAAAAAAAAAAATCAGAATTTAAAAAAAAAAACTAATTTAAAAAAATAAATATGAAAAGTATATTTAATTTGTAAAAATTATTTCTAACCACTCAAAAGATAAAATTATATAAAAAAACAATAATTATTTTTATTTTTTATTTCTTAACCAAATTCATTTTTAATTAAAAAAATAAAATAAATTTTTAAAAATCAAACAAAACATATTATAAGAATTTTTTGACAACCATTTCTTGTGTTTTTAACTTATTTAATTATTTTGTAATTTTTATGATATTTTCATCATCTGACACTACAATATATAATAGTTTTAGAGACTAATTTTTTTTGATTTCTAAAAGTGAAAATTTTGTTGCAAAAGATATTTAGGGCCTAATTTCTATCGTCGTTGGGATACCACTAAAGGTCGCCCTGAAAAGTCAAAAATAAGGTTTTTAGCTATAAAATTTAAGAAATATCAATAATAAATAAACTTTTAGGGACAAAATAATTTAGTCTCAAAATGATTTATTTTTTGAGACAAAAAATTTGATACCAAAAAGATAATAATTAATCATTAAATGTTCATTTTTCGTTGCTAAAAATATAATAACGACACTTTTTTGCAACAAAAATATTTGGTCCCCTAAAAATAATTTTGTCCCTAAATTTTGGTCTCTTAAATCTTAATTTTTTGTAATGTGATAAGTGTTTTCATTTTAATTTTGCATTCATAACTTATTTAAAAATGATAATTTAGCTAAACCTCAAGAGGGTGTAGGTAATTTGCCATTATTTGTCAAAAGGGCATTTTAGTTAATTTACGATATCCGTTAATGGCATTAATTGCGATGGGACGAGATGTAATTTTTGAAATCATCAGAGGAGAATCTGTAATTTCATTAAACATCAAGGGAGTGTAGGTAATTTGCCCTTTTTGTAGATGGAGTTGTGGGTTTCTATTTTTTTTTAAATTTAATTTATCTGTGGTTTCTATTTGTTTTTTATTATTATTATTTAGATAAGTTATTATGCAGTTAAATATGTGATAGATATGTGAGTTTATTGATTTATTTTATAAGGATATGATATGATAGTATATTTTAAATTAGATTTGTTTAGATAGACTTTAAAGATTTTTAAGATTAAAATTATATATTGAGAGGCAAAAAATATATTTTAAACTGAATAACTAAAATTTAAATTAATTAATTTTATCTGTTTGTATATTTGTTTTTTTAATTTTTTTTTTGGTTAGGTTATAATATAATATATTAAGATATAAATAGATATCCACAACTTTCATTGAAAAATTTTATATGATTTTTTTTGAGAAAAGAAAAGGAATGCAAGTTTTAATATTTTTTTTTTTGATAATTGATGAGAGAGATTATGTAACGCCCTCAAAATAAACCCATTATATGTATATCATCAACATGCATTACTTAAAGAAAACAATTTATTTATTCATTCATCAGAGTATTACTAAATAAAAACATACATGTAACATCAAATTAAATGCCCTATGGCTTACATCTTTCCAAGCCAACACTTGGATACAAAATATGAGTTCTAACTCAAATACAAATAAAGCCCTAGGCTTGATTATTTATCAAATAAAAACAAACAACTAAAGATAGTCTTCAAAATCCAAATCCTTCCAAGCTAAGTCCTGGGAGGTAGCTTATCACCTGGACCTGAAAATGATGTTCCCATAAAGGGTGAGCCACAGCCCAGTAGAAATATACTAAACCAAATATAAGCATTGAATAAAGCAATAGCATTCAATAGATGGTTAACCAAGATAATCAATTACATCATTATACAGTTTCATGACACTAATGCCTAAGACATGTTTTACTTTCCAACTTTATCAATATGGCTCAGAACCTGGCCAATCTTTCAACAGTGAACCATACATAATATATTCACATTCATCCAGTGTCAACAAACAGATGAGACTCAGGCTCAAATCAAAACACTTCATACTTCCAGTTTGATAACAATTTAGTGTGTATCAATAAAACACTTCAATATAAATAAGCACACATAAAAGTGATGCTAATGGAGTCCATCCCCTATCTCCTCCCAAAAAAATCCCGATTTAGAGGTCCATCCCCTATTCTTCTCCTAAACCGTGGAGTACATCCCTATCTCCTCCCACACAAAACAATGTATGCAAACACATAACATATACAACACACAATCAATACACATAATGCCTGTATTAATTCAGCAGTCAAAATTGATGACTTAATCAATGATTAGTTTCAGTTATCCCTAATCACATGCAGTGTCTACAACAAGCACGACTATCCTCCACCGATAGCCCAAAACAGTTATTTCTAGACTTGGAAATAAATATACCAACAATTCATAGACGAGTGATTTAAATTAACCAACTACGCCATTTAATCAATGAATTCCCCAATTTCATGAATTTAACCATATTTTCCCATTCCAAGAATTAATTATACAAATTAATTATTATTACAACTAGGGTTTTCCCAAAATTACCAAAGTATCCCCAACATATCAAAATACCAAAACTTAGAACAAAACTCTATAGAATGGAGTAGAAATCCTACCTCGAAGAAATAGTCCCAAAAGAGAAGATGAAGATGAAGACCCAAACTCCAAAGTGCTCCAAACTTACCAACAATTCAGATTTTTAAAAATG